CTTCTTCTTCTTCTTCTTCTTCTTCTTCTTCTTCTTCTTCTTCTTCTTCTTCTTCCTCCTCCTCCTCCTCCTCTTCCTCTTCCTCTTCCTCTCCCTCTCCCTCTCCCTCTCCCTCTCCCTCTCCCTCTTCTCCTCCTGCTCCTCCTGCTCCTACTCAGAGCAAGAGACCCGAGAGGGAGGACTTGTCTCCTCAATTCAGTTTCACCAAGTGCATCTCAGCACTTCCTGGTAATTTTCTCAGCAAGATTTTGGAAGCGCTTTGCCATTTCCTTCTTCCAAGGTGGTTCTTTTGACTTGTTTGTGATTCTGTGACCCAGCCAGGCCCAGATTAGCCTTTCAAGACCAGCCAAAAGTTGCTCCTCCTTAGATCTGGGTAGGTTAAGATTGGGTCACAAATGTTATGACAGTTGAATTAAGAACTTCTGAGTCAACCACTTCCGGTTGCCAGCTTCGGTGACAGCAGGGATTTGCGTTTCTTTGCGATCCCTGCTGTACTCGCCGTCTTGGTGCCTCCGATCCAGATGGATTTGGAGGATAAGGCTGCCTTGTAGAGGCAGCCGAAGATAGGGAGGATCTGGGGAGGGGTTTGGGAGTGTCGCAGACCCCCCTCCCACACCCAGTTTAAACCTCCTTCTCTCAAGACGATGCAGCGACGGTCTTATGGCCGCCATGAAGAGGCTGGCATCCGGGAAAAGATTGCGCAGGAGGGGTGCTGAAGGAAGAGAAAACAGAGAAAGCCTTTGGCTGAACCGGGACAACAATTAACATCTGAATACCCTGGAATTTTGGCTTTTCAAGTGATATATTCTTTCCCAAAGGATCGTTAAGCTGCGGTGGAAGAGTAAAGGGAAAACTTTTTTTTTTCTCCTCACTTTCCTTCCCACGGAGGCAGCAGATGGAAATCCGAAACACCCGTATTGGCAGCAGAAAGTATTAACTTTCCAAATTGAAGCCAAGGGGAAATTACATTCCCAAATATTGATATTCTAAAACTCAAATCTTTTTGCTTTAAGGAGGAAGGAAGAGAGGCAAATGATTTATACTAACATTTGTTGAAGGAGACTGCTTGGAGTTTTATAAGATTAGAGATTAAATTGCAATAAAACTTCCAAAAAATGTCTTGGAATCATGTAATTGAATTCTCCCCCAGGAAGAGCAAGTAAGAAAGCGAAACAAAACGCACTCAATGTACTGATTTTGATTGCTTCATGACTTTGGGACTTTAACTATCCTTTGAAAGACTAAGAAAACATTTGGACTGCTTAAAAAAAAATCCTTTTCTGTTTACAATGGTGTCTTTTGAAGAATTGAAAATGCAGTTTGGAAAATTAAAAAAAGAGGAAGGTGGCTCTTTTGGATCTATCTTTTGCTTTTTAGAAATGGCGATTTCTGCTTACCAGGAAATGCAACAAGAAAGAGGCTGGGACGATGAAGAAGAAGCCATCTTTAATGGACATATGACTTTTAAAAAGGGTAAAAAGGAGAAGAAAATTAAGAATTTAAGCTCTAAAAAATCAATTAAGAAAGGGAAAAGAAAGGTGAAAAATCGATATAATGATAGAAAGCAATGGAAAAGAGGAATGCAACAGAGAGGGGAGATTAAAAAGTGGGAGATTGAGGGGGGGGTAAAAAGGCTAGATTTGACAAGGAAGGAAGGGACAAAGCGAAGGGAAGTTATAAAGACTTTAAACAAGATGTTAATAAACAACTTTTTTTCAGAAACAAAGGGTAAAATAAAATTTTAATAGAGATTCTGCAAAGGTACACAAGACTGCATTTTATATTTGTATTTGAAATATGTGTCAATAAAATATTCTAGGGACTGTGTAATTGATGTGTATTTAACTAATTTGTTGGGGAATACTATTTTTAATATCTATAAGAATATTATGTTTGTTTTTTTTATTCTAAAATGTCATCTAGAATGTACTAAGCAGAATCAGAATAGAAATAATGTTTAATTTTAAGCGTTGAATTTGGGGGGAAAATAGAAAGGTGTCATACTTCAACCAGTCATTACAGGAAAAAGTTTGTGTTTAAGAGAAAGATAAATGGATGATTGAAAAAGAACGGACAAAAAATACAAGTGAAATGATTTAAATTGAGATTAAATAAACAAAGTAGAATTAAGAGAGTGAAAAGAGGGGAGAAGATATTTGTAAAATGTAGAATTTTTAACAAGATATGAAATAGTATATAAGCTGAGCATGAATCTAATTTAAGTCTGTACCAAAAGTTATAACCCGAGGTTAAGCCGCTTTCTAAAAAGAAGTTTTATATTTTTTATGTTATGTGTTTTGTCAGTTTATATTTGCTTATTGAGGAGTAATATTGGATAAGAACATATGAAATAGTAATAATATGAAATATAGTAAGATAAAATATATGAATGAATAAAATTGAATAGAAATAAAGGAAGAAACAGTAAGAAGGTGGAAAACAGTAATAAGATATGAAGTTGAATATATAAGATGCTTATTAAGTTATGTTTGGAAATGTGGTAATTTAGAATTATATTGTACTTAAATGAGATGTCTTATTTGTTTTGTTAAGCAGTTGTTGGAAAAGATGTTTTATGTTCTTACGTCTTGTGTTTTGTTTGTGTACTTTTCTTTTTTTGAAAATTAATAAAACTTTACTTAAAAAAAAAAAAGAACTTCTGAGTCCAGAGTATATGAGGAAATACCATCTGTCTGGTACCAAGAAGATTGTGAGTGGTTTGGAATCGTTGTTGTCAAAGCCATTGATGGCAGTTCATCGCAGGTGTTCAGAATAAATCCTTCTCCAGCTCAGGCAGGAGCTCTCCCC